GAAGTGTTGTTGCTGGACTTTATCAGCTTGGATTGTTCAGCCTAGCTTTTGGCTCCTGTGGAGACCGGGTGTTTGGTATGTGACACGACAAAAAGAATAATGTCTTCTCCCAAGTGCAAGACCAGGGTCGAACTATAGAGAGGTTAATTGTACAAATTATAAATAATAATAATAATATAACAACAACAACAACAACAACAATAATAATAAAGAAAAGAAGGAGAAGAGGAAGAAGATGATGAGAACTTTGAGATGGAATATTAATGTAAAGATTAAACAATGATAATAACAAATGTCAAGGTTAGAGGATCCACTAATGGTATGTCAAACAAGTATAGTATAAACTCTTATTATTCAATTGGAAACTACATACAAAAGAGGTTCCAATCAGATTATATATTGTTAACATGATTACATTAGTCATCTTATTCGATTAATGCCAATACTTGTAAATCTCGTGAAGCATTCATGATTATAACTTATATTAACAACAAATCAAGTTTCTTTCATAGCTCAAGTGTCGGTTATACTATACAGTATGAACTATGAAAGTGCCAAATATTTGTTGTAGCAAGTGTTATACAACATAAATCAAGATTAGTCATTTAACAAGCAAAGTATTAAAGAGTGAACAAGATAACAAATACAAAACATGTTAGTATCAAAATTAAAGTCCATATTAAGTTTATACTATACTTATTCTTACACCATTAATGTAACCTTTTCATCTTGACATAATAAACTTAGCTAGACATAATGAAAAAAAGAAAAATAAATAAATAAAATAAGAACATAAATAAGATAAGAGTTAACAAAGCAAAGGATAGGAATTGAAAGACATAAACTTGATATTAAGAAAAGCAAACCATAAACATTACAAAAAATACAAAGAGAGAAAGCAAGAGCATGATCTTGATCTGGACACCAAGATGCCTAAATGCATGGCAAATGCCTCCTTTTATAGGCCAAATTGGGAACTATTGATTTGATGACTAATTGATGAGTGGGTGACCAACTCTTGACCTGGTGACAATCCTTATCTTCTCTTGTCTGCCCAAAACATCATTGATAACGTCAAAATTAGAGCCACTTGAAAACATGAAAGTTATAGGAAATTGTCTTAGACTTTTTGTGTAAACAATCCAGCTTATTTCGACTTCTAGAACTCCAGATATGACCAAACTACTTAACAGTGCTCGGGTTAAAAGACAAATTCGGGCTTTTTTGTTGTTGCTACAATTTGGACTTGAAAATGATCTTTTTACATCTTGGGCTCCATATGAAAGTTGTAGACCTATGTCTTACCTTTCCATTCATATAAAGTAGACCTAAATCTAAGATCTATAGCTCTAGATATGACCCAATTACCAAACAATGTTCTGGTTTGGATTGTACCGACATCTCTTTTCTATGTTTGGTCATCTCTTTATCCTTTCAATTTCAGTTCTTAAATTCACCAATCAATCCTTTCATTTATGTGATAGGCTTGCATTTAAAATGAACATTTACCACAAATTAAAGGTATCTTATATTATTAGATATATTATTATAAAACATGTTTTAGTTAAGGAGTTATTGATACTTCAAGTGCAAAATGATGATATAAAACCTTAATAAAAATATACTTTTGAGTTCTAATTAGTATGGATTTTAGATGTTTCATGTTGCTGGCTGGGTTCATTTAGACACCTCCATTCATCGTATGGTTTCTTCTTTAACCTTTACTGCACACTGTGGGATTTGGCCTTGCATGGCCCTTTTTTTTTTTACGGGAGCTCGTCCCCTTTTTGTTCTTTGTGTATGAGATATAGGCTTCTCCCTACAACCTGGATAGTTTGGTTAATGTATGCATGACTTGGCTATATTCAGTTTTGTTTTGGTTGGGAGTCTGTTCACATATATATATATATATATATATATATATATATAGATTTACTGGTATGGTTATATTTTACTTTCATATATACTTGTATTTTGATAGAATAATAATAATAATAATCTCTACCATTAGGAATGATTTGTTTTAATATTATAGTCCCCTTACTATAACTTATTTTAATTTTAAAGTCTATCATTGTAGTCAATTTATTTTTAATATTATAATCCTCAACATTATTTATTTTAACATTATAGTTATTGTTATTTTAGCTAATTTAGAATGTATTTGGTTATATAGTTGTTTCTGTATTTAAAGCAATCACAGTAATTCAATCATTTGGTAATGCTCCAACAATATATTTATATTAATGGGACTTACTATTAATTATGGTATGGTGACAAGTTTTCAACAAGTGATAATTTGTTGTTTCTTGAGCTCAAAAATTCATGAATAGTGAAGCATGATTTACTATTCATGGGTTTTCTTTCATGAATAGTGGAGCATGCTTTATTATTCCGGTCGGACCAATTCGGTTCAACACTAAAAATGCATTGAATAGGGTTTGATCTAACGAAATAAAAAAAATATTTTTTATTTTTAATTGTATTTTATTTGAAAAACTAGTGTTAAACATTATTCAATAACACTAAATAAATTAGAAAGAGATTGCTTGATAACACATTATTTGCAGAATTTGATCGCAATTCCAATTTTATTTCTGATTATATTTTACCAATGTTGTTGCGCTTATAAAAAATTTAATAGAATAATAAAAAATATTTTATATAAAGTATTATTTATTTTATGATATAATAGTAATATTTAAATTTACAATATTTAAATTAAAAACCATCAATATTAATATATATTTTTAAAAATTATTTTATAACCTCAATTTCAAAAGTATTCTTAACTAAACACATTAAACTAATTTTTCTTCAACCTCAATTTCAATCATAATTTTAACCAAATATCTAATTTTTTTGAATCAATCTCAACTAAAAATACTTTTTATAAAATAATTTTTTTTAAACCACAACCATAATAGCTACCGCAATACCAAATATATTTTTATTTTACTAATCATAGTTTCTATTCATTAGAATTGACTAGTTATAAATCATTATCCTATTTGGAATGTATTTTTTATAAGATGTTATTTTCCCACCTTGAAGATATATTTTGATACTATTTTTCTCTCAAAAGACATATTTTATAAGATATCATTTTTCTTCCCTAAAAACATATTTTATAAAGAAATTATTTTTGCATTCACATAACATACTTAATTTTACTTATTGTTTTCAATATCATACTTGGTATATTCATGATATTTACTTTAGTCAAAATGGTTGGTTTCTAGTGCATGGTAAACCAAAATAATTGAAGGTGGTAATTGTAAAAGGTTTTATTTAGTAGATTTTGAGATTAAAAAATATATACAATAATATTTTAGAGAACAATACTCTAAAAATATATATGCATTCAAGTATAGAGATTATGAATATAAAGTTTTAAAAAATTCATGATATATTTATAGTTCATAAGCCTTTTCTTTTTTATATAAAAAAACTAAAATATAATATTATCTTGGTAGTTTTAATAAGAGAATATATCTCTGACATATACATTAATGAGAAATAAATATTTTTTATATAAATATTAATGTGATAAAAATATAATAAATTCTTAAAAAAATATATATTATTTCTTACACAATATTAATATTAATAAAAATATAGTTAATATTGAAAGAATTTTTATATTTCTAAAAATGTAAAAAATATATAATCCTGAATACATAGAAATTCAGTTTTTTTCCTAATGCAAGTTTTGGGTTTTTCAGGTTAATTTATGAGGGTTGAAATTTTTAAAAAAATTAATTTTTTTTTAAATATTCATGATATTAGATTTTTTTAAAAAAAAATTAAGCTCATGAGTGAGTGGATAGGTTATTTTTCTGAACGTAGCCCATGAGTGCTTGGGCTGATGGCTCTTTCTATTGAAGGTGGGTATGGAAACGTTGAGTTTTTTAGCATTTAAAAGGTTTTTTTAGTTTAGTTAATATTTTTTTTAATTAAATTCTAGCTTAATTTGTACGATTGATTTTATAAATTTTAAAATTAATAATTATATAAATTTTTAATAACAATTATATAAGTAATTAAGAAGTCCAACTTTAAATCAGAAAAAAAAAACAAATTTCTTAATTCAATTCCTTACCATTTTAGCACTGCCTGGATGTTTAGTTTAGTTAAATTTAGATATATCACTGGTTATCTGGACTGCTTCTGCCCTTGTGCTTGGCTTCCTTCATTACAAGTTTTCAACCACTGAATCCTGATCATCAAACACTAAAGAGACAACAACGGTCCTATTTATAACTTGTTTAATATTTATTTTATAATTTATTATCTCAACTAAATGAAGTTATTGAATTATTTATCTCCACTTCATTTATTTTTCATTTGATTTTCTCTTACAAGCATATTGATTGGCAATATGAAGTGGGAATTTTAGGATCATTTCACTACTTTAATTTCATTTGTCTTTTCTCTGTTTTTTTTTTTTTTAATAAAGTTGATGTTTGGATGCTAATTTAAGTAATCTGTTTGCTTTTGAGTGGAGAAAATTTCAAAGTTGTTATCTTTTCTTGCCTAGGTATTGAATTTATACTGTTCGATGGTTAGATACTCATTTGATTGTTCAAATAATGAAAAACTTCCTTTTCATTTCTTTTGCCTATATGGTTCTGTTTCGCAGGATTTGACGGACAGTGGGGCAGTTGATTTGTTGTCTATGCTGATAATAAGTAACTTCATAGGGTTTCAGCATCCATGGCTGTAAATTAGAAGTGGGTTGTTGAAGGAATTTGAGGATAAGGATAATATGAATAGGATACATAAGATTACTGATCAGTGTGGTGATAAAGTTGCTGCCGAGGGATCCGCTCCTAGTCAAGGACCCAATGAGATTTTTTACCATGAGATTGCTCAACTCACAAAGCTTAGGTCACGGCCTCATGAGCTTTTGAGCAAGGACATGCCTGGCAGGTCGAGGCTGCCCGTCTCAACTATGAAAATGTTGGTTGGTCGAGAGGGTAACTATTCCGGGAGAGGGAGATTCTCATCCGCAGATAGTTGTCATGTTTTAAGTCGATATTTGCCTGTAAATGGTCTTGCACGGTAGAGCAGTTGGATAGTAGGACTTATGTTTCTCAGTTTTCAGATGACGGTACTCTTTTCATTGCGGGATGTCAGGTATTGTTCATTTACTTGGGGCAGAAAATAAAGTTATTATTCTCGACCAGGCATTATCCTTCATAAATAGTTGGGGATACTTAAATTAATGGGACTGTTTGTAAAGTTATTTTTTGAGTAAAAACTTTTCTTGTACAACAGGGAAGCCACATTAGGATATATAATGTGGATAAGGGATGGAAAGTTAAGAAGGACATTTTAGCCAAAAGTTTAAGATGGACGATCACTGATGCATGTCTTTCTCCCAATCAGCACTATCTTGTAAGTTTCTGATGATTCTAGATGGAAAAAAGATGTTTATGTATTACTAAGATAGGAAGTAAATTATTGTAGTCATATAGTGTAGTTCAATGCATTAGTTCTGGTTCTCTGGGTTTACTGGAGCCTTTTCATCTCTTATTATACTGTAGTTCAATGCATTAATGCAGGTTCTCTGGGTTTAGTGGAGGACTGTCTCTTTGGCGGACCACCTCTTTTATGACCTGTTACCAAATTAATTAAGTACCGAGCAGAAATTTTCTTTGATTTTGTTTAACATACAGGTTGGTGGATTATATGCCTGCCGAGTCTTGCTATATTGCGCATATCATGTCCTGTTTATGACATGTGCCCCTGTTGTACTTGTGTGTGAGTGTGTCTGTGAGAATGTATGATCATCTCTCTATGCATTTTTAGATTCAATCTCTTTGAATTCCGGATTGTGTGTATATCATTGTTTTGGATTGTTATGGACAGGGCGTAAGTGCTCCCTTGTAAATTAATTTTTTATATTGGGATAAACAGCCTTAAACAAGGGTTACTTGGTTGTTTTAGGTCTTTATATCTTTTTGGTTGTCTACAATAAGTCAATTTGTCTAATGGCATACTGCAACTTAGCCTAACTTTGGAACTGTGCTTGTTGTTGGCCAGCATAATTTTATTAATTGCTTACAGCTCATCCTTATTTTCCTGTCTAATGGCTTTTACTGTTGCTGTTGATTTTACCAGGATTTATGCAATACTTGAAATAGTTGCACCATATAGGGTAGAAGATAAAACTTGGATTATCTTTTGGGCTTCTATACTATTGCAAGTATAATTTGCAGGATCTTCCACTCGTGTCTAGCCATGCCAATTTTCATTGGGGACGAACTGATTTGTAGACTTGACGTGCAATGAGATTTAATTTTATAACTTGGATGCAGTGCTTTCCTTTGTTGATTCCATTTACCTTCAATTTTAATGTGCAGGTGTATGCTAGTTTGTCACCTGTTGTCCATATTGTGAATATTGAATCTGCTGCAACAGAGTCACTGGCAAATGTAACGGTATGTGTGCCACGTGCCATGCTTGTTGTGGATGTATTTTTTTCTTAGTTTCTTATATTTATATGTTATCGTTCAGTGTAGGATGAAAAGGCTAAAATCTTTTCAGCTGTTGTGATATTAGCTTTCATCTTACAGAACTATGCCTTTGGGTCATCATCTCAGAATTAACATGTTGCATTGCTGTTACAAACGGTGATAGATGGGATTATTTTATTTATTTAATTATGCAATGAGTGTATTGGATGTTCTACCCATGGCTGTAGTGTCTGAATGATGTGTGCTACTTGGTGCGCTATAGGGCACAATTGTTTGGCTAGATGCTATTTAGCACTGTGAAGTAGTCCTTATTCTTGACGGGTGGCCATGTTATCATGACTATTAAATATCAAGCCATGGTCATGATGCTTTTGATCATCTGATCTGTTAAATGAGATGCTCACTGGAGCACACCATTTTGTGCTCCATAGAGGCAATCCAGCACCCTGAGCTATGGCTCACTTAGCTGTCCTCTTATAGACAGCCATTGTTTTTCCTAGGGAATTTTAAAGAATATAACTTGAACCTATGCATTTTGTTTCTTCATTGTTTTAGTGCCGCAGAGTGATCAATCAAGATTTGAGCACTTTAATCTTACAAAGAGAATATGGTCATTGGTTTCATTCACATCAAAGTTTCCATATGCAGGAAATTCATGATGTTTTGAATTTTTCTGGCAATGATGATGATTATGATGACTTTGGGATTTTCTCTGTAAAGTTTTCAACTGATGGGCGAGAGCTTGTAGCTGCAAGTAGTGATAATTCAATATATATTTATGATCTTGAAGCAAATAGTTGCAGCCTCCGAGTTCTGGCACATAAGGTATCATACGATTCATCATACGTAGTATATTGATTTTTTGAAACTTAGAATGTGTTGTTTCTTGGGAATTTATTAAGTAGGTTTGAGTTACATCTAGACAATCTGTAAGCGACTTTCCTCTTGTATTACTTCCTCTCAGAGTTTTTAGTTTATAGACAGAAATGCACTATAAATTGTCTATCTGATTCCTTTGCAACCAAAAACGCAAACCATTGCCTACCTATTGACTGATAGATCTATTGTGCATTGCAAAAGACAATATCTTGTTTTGTTCTCAATTTTAATTTGTTAGAAAAATTATTCATATGGCATATTCATCAGTCCATATTTTAGAGTAAGAAAGCAGCAAGCCAAGTCTGTTGCTTTTCGTACATGGGTTCAAGTGAAGTTTACACTAAAATCATACAGTTGCATCATTATTTCTCTTACCTGCACAAAAGTTGATGTTTCCCTTTCTTTTTCGTACTGTCTTTTCTCCCCTTCTCTATCATTTCCCTTCTTTGAATGCAGGGTAGGTCTATATTCAGTGAACTTTTACATGGAACATCTGTGAACCTATTTCTTGGCAAGAGTCATTAAAATGCAATTGTTAAATTTTTGCAACTTACTCTCAAGCAGGGCTTAGTGTTTTTGGATATGTCACATGATCTTATGTTTGTTTCTCATGCAGTCTGATGTTAACACGGTTTGTTTTGCGGATGAAGCTGGCCATCTCTTATATTCTGGAAGTGATGATAACCTCTGTAAGGTAAAAGCTATCCATTTGACTTTGAAGATTTATGTCATCATGTTCCAAAGTGCTACACGATATTCTTTCTGGTTTAACCAGTTTGCAGCTGCCTCACTGTAGGTTGAGCAGAATTTTTATTACTGGTGCCTTGGTAGCTACTGTATGCTACTACAATTGTCAATTTGTCTCAAGCCATATAAGGCTAACCAGAAACTAAGCCATTTTGAATAAATAATGATGCCTTTTCAAGACTGCAGAAATTTAACTTGGCACTAATTTTGCATCTCTTAATTGGTATTTTTTTTTAATAAAGGAATTTTCACTAATCTTCTATTTTAACTTGTACAGGTGTGGGATAGGCGATGCTTTATCTCAAAAGGGAAAGCAGCAAGGGTCTTGATGGGACATCTAGAAGGCATTACATTCATAGACAGTCGTAGAGATGGGCTTTACTTTATTTCTAATGGAAAGGATCAGACTACCAAACTATGGGATATACGAAAGATGTTAAGATTAGTAAGATTATTGTTTCCTCCCCCCTTCCCCCAACACAAACTTGCACACACATCCCCTAGATTTTTGCTTACATGTTCTTTAATTGCTTCATGTCTTTCCTCTGTGTCTATATTACTATGCTATATTTTTAAACTGTTCTAGTTAGGAGTTGATTGTTTCAAATTCTTATTCCATGTGACAAACTTGTAGTTAATACTTTTGGTTGATGGTGAAGCTTCAGTGGAGCCAAGTAGAGGTTCAAACTGATCGATGTTAACAATTTTGGAGTTGCATGACTTTTTCAATTTATCGTATACGGGTTGGATTGTTAACAGGCAACTGCAATAGCAATTTTCTATTTTGGTTTTGCAGCTTAACAAAAACCTGAAAAAAATGAAATCTAGTTTGAAATTAGGATAGAAGCTGTTTACTCTTACGATATGTCATCTCTAGTGCGTAGCATCCTCCAATTTGGCTTTGGAGGCCTTGTTCTACATATTTTTATAAAATTATTTTTTTAAGGAACAAACTTGTCAGAAGATTGGATTGTCAATAAAAGCAAATGGACTTTTGATTATGAATTAATATATTAAAGGTTTTGGGTGGGGGTGAGCATACATATTTCTAATTTACATTGCTTTATGCACCTAACTGCATTGCTTGAGCGTATTTTGAGTTTATTGTATGAAATGAATGAATTTTTAACCCACCCAGATTTTGGAAAGGATTGGAATTACTTGTACCTGAATTGATTGACGCTCTCCGGATATTAATTTTGCTACTGACTTGTCTTTTCAACCAGCACTCCAAAGTGTAGATATTCTGACTGGGATTACAGATGGATGGAGTGTCCACTGTTAGGATATTCAAGCTTTCAAACACACATCAATTTACTGGTTCGGCAACTTGCCTACTTCACGGAGCTACTGATTTGTATTAATGAAGCTCGAAAGCAATACAAACAACAAAACAAGGAGGAGAAAAAACTTCTCTACTCAACTCAACTCTCACTCTAAACTCTCTTTGTGTCTCTATTTCGTGGTATCTTCAGCTATCAATGACACTCTATTTATAGCTGAAGTGGGAGACAATCTTCTTCCTTTGGTCAACAATGGTGGGCAACAATTTCTTTGGTTAGGCACCTACCATTGACTCTTGCATTGCAATCACATGACTGCCACCTACTATTTGTGTCCATACATAACAATCTCCCACTTGGACACAAATGGTGCTAGATCTGTCTTTTAATCTTGAAGACCAACTGAAGCTTTACACAGCTTCGGTTTATCAAGAATAACTCCTTTGGTTAACATGTCAGCTGGATTTTTGCTTCCACAGATCTTTTCAAGTAACAGTTGTTCATCGTCGAGCAATTGCCGGATGAAGTGATATTTGATCTGTATGTGCTTTGTTCTGGAGTGAAATGCCGGATTCTTGGCAAGGAAGATTACACTCTGACTATCACTATACAAAGTACCCTTTCCATGCATCTTGTCCAATTCTTGTAGAAAACTCTGTAACCATACTAGCTCTTTTGCAGATTCTGAAACTGCAACATATTCAACTTCTGTTGTTGAAAGAGCAACTATCTTTTGCAAGGAAGAACTCTAAGAAACAGCAGTGCCTCTTAAAGTGTATATATAACTTGTAGTACTCTTTCTGCTATCAACTGCAGCAATATCTCGGACCATGCAAGTCATTCGTTGAATTATCTCTTCTATGTTAGGTCATTCAAGCATTCAAACACATATTAATTTACGTGGTTCAGTAATTTGCTTACTCCACGGAGCTACTGGTTTGTATTAATCAAGCTTAGAAACAATACAAACAACAAAATAAAAAGGAGGAGAAAAAACTTCTTTACTCAACTCAACTCTCACTCTAGCTCTCTCTGTGTTTCTCTCTATTTCGTGTGTTACTCAGCTATTAATGACACCCTCTATTTATAGCTGATATGGGAGATAATCTTCTTCCTTTGTCAATTATGGTGGGCACCATTTTTCTTTGTTTAGACACTTACCATTGACTCTTGCAATCATATGGCTGCCAACTACTATTTGTGTCTATACATTAACAATCTCCCACTTGGACACAAATGACGCTACATCTGTCTTTTAATCTTGAAGACCAACCGAAGCTTTACACAGCTTCAGTTTATCAAGAGTAACACCTTTGGTTAACATGTCAGCTGGATTTTTGCTTCCACAGATCTTTTCAAGTAACAATTGCTCATCGTCGAGCAATTGTCGGATGAAGTGATATTTGATCTGTATGTGCTTAGTTCTGGAGTGAAATGCTGGATATTTGGCAAGGAAGATTGCACTCTGACTGTCGGTATACAAAGTACCCTTTCCATTCATCTTACCCAATTCTTTTAGGAAACTCTGTAGTCATACTATCTCTTTTACAGATTTTGAAACTACAACATATTCAGCTTCTGTCGTTGAAAGAGCGACTATCTTTTGCAAGGTAGAACTCCAAGAAACAGCAGTGCCTCCTAGAGTGTATATATATCCTGTAGTACTCTTTCTGCTATCAATATCTCCTGCTAGATCAGCATCTATAAAACCTTCAAGTTTCAAACCACCAGCTGTGAAGGTAAGACATGTCTCCGATGAGCTTTTTAAGTATCTCATGATCCATTTCACCGCCTCCCAATGTTGCTTTCCAGGATTGCTCATATATCGGTCTACAACTCCCACTGCATGGGCAATGTCTGGTCTAGTACAGACCATAGCATACATCAAAGAGTCGATAACTGAGGCGTATGGAATCTTATCCATGTATCCACATTCTAGCTTAGTTTTTGGTGACTTGTCTCTACTAAGCTTGAAATGATTCCTCAGAGGTGTACTTACTGGTTTAGCATTATCCATACTAAACCTGCTGAGAACCTTCTTGACATACTCTGTCTGTGAAAGCTTTAGTATGCCTTTGTCTTTGTCTCTGATGATTCTCATGCCAAGTATTTGTTTAGCAGTTCCCAGATCCTTCATTTCAAACTATTTTGACAATTGTTGCTTTAGCTTGTCAATCTCTTCCATACTGGATCCTGTAATCAACATATCATCCGCATACAACAGTAGAATGATATAGGAGTTGTCAAAATATTTGACATCGCAACAATGATCAGCCTGACATTTTGTGTATCCCGAACTACACATGAAGTTGTAAAACTTCTTATACCACTGTCTTGGAGCTTGCTTCAAACCATATAGACTCTTCTTTAGCTTGCAAACTTGATTCTCCTTTCCTTGTATTGCAAACCCCTTTGGTTGTTGCATGTAAATGTCTTCCTTCAATTCACCATGAAGAAATGTTGTTTTTACATCTAATTGTTCAAGATGTAAATTTTCTACAGCTACCATCCCTAGAACAACTCTGATTGTTGTAAGCTTCACAACTGAAGAAAATATCTCAGAGTAGTCAATCCCTTTCTTTTGCTAAAACCCTTTTACAACAAGTCTTGCCTTGAAATGTTTGCTTCCGTCATGCTCAGTCTTTACTCTGTAAACCCATTTATTTTTCAAAGCCTTCTTTCCTTCAGGCAGTGTGGTTAGCTCCCAAGTTTTGTTCTTCAACAATGACTCCATCTCGTCCTTCATGGCTAACTCCCACTTGCTCGAGTTTCCATCTTGTAAGGATTCTTCATAAGTTAATGGTTCACCACCATCTGTCAGCAAAATATAATTTAGTAGAAGTGTGAACTGTTGTAGAGGCTTTATAGTCCTTGAAGAACTGCGAACAGCTGGTTCACTTGGCTCTGCATTTTCTTGTGTAGTAGTAATGGGTACAAATGTGCTTGAATTTTCTTGTAAGGACTCTTGAGTGGTAACATCAGGAAGCAATTCTAATTTTATGAATTCAAATTTTTGCGGACTCGTATCTGAATCAACCATCTCTGTTTCTGTACTTGATCTGTCTTTGTACAAAACTTTCTCGTTAAAGATCACGTTCCTGCTTCTGATAATCTTCCTGTTCTGATCATCCCAAAACCGAAATCCAAATTCTTCATCTTCATAGCCAATAAAGAAACATTTCTTTGATTTGACATCCAGCTTGTTGCGAGCATCAGAATCTACATGCACATAGGAAACACACCCATAAACCTTTAAATGAGAAAGTTGTACTTCTTTTCCTCTCCGTACTTTCTCGGGTAGTCTGAACTCCAAAGGAACTGATGGTCTATGGTTGATCAAGTAAACTGCAGTATGAACTACAACAGCCCAAAATGTTTGAGGTAACCCAAAATGCAACCTCATGCTTCTAGCTTGTTCAATGATGGTCCTGTTCATCCATTCAGCAATGTCATTCTGTTGTGGTGTGTCTGGAACTATCTTTTCCATTCTAATACCGTTGACAACGCAATACTCCTTGAAACCTCCATCAATGTATTCTCATCCATTGTCAGATCATAAGCATTTCAACTTCAAACCCAATTCAGTCTCAACCATAGCCTTTCATTTCTTGAATGTGTCAAACACATCAGATTTATTTTTCAGAAAGTAGACCCATACCTTCCTGTTGAAGTCATCAATAAAAGTCACATAGTATCAAGAACCTCCAAGAGATGCTACTGGAGTTGGTCCCCATAAATCTGTGTGCACCAGTTCTAGCTTTCTTGGTCTTAAGGTCCTGCCAACTTTTAAGAAACTGAGCTTCTTCTGTTTTCCAAAAACACAGCTTTCATAAATGTCTAAATCAATATTTTTTAACTCTGGCAGCTTTCCTTTTGACTCATATGGCTGAGTCTACAATGCCATAGTTGTGCCTGATTTTCTGCTTCAGTAGAGGCAATTATATTTATGGATCTTGTGGTCATATACAGGGTGCCAGTTTTCTTTCCACGAGCCAAAACCATTGCTCCCTTTGATACCTTCCACATTCCTCCAGAAAAAAGGATTGAATGACCACTATCATCAAGTTGTTCGACCGAGATCAGCTTCTTCTTTAGTCCAGGAACATGCCTTACATTTTGCAAGTTCCATATAGATCCATTCATTGTCTTGATTTGCACATCTCTTATACCCATAATATCCAATGGTTGTCCATCGGCCAGATAGACTACACCGTGATCTCCAGCAATATAGTTTTGCATTATTTCATGGTGTGGTGTACAATGAAATGAAGCACCAGAATCAAGAACCCAATCATCAATAGGACTATGTACAACAAGAATCAAAGCATCTTCTACCTCGTCTGTAGTGGCGTTTGCAGAATCAACTTCAGGTTTTTTCAGTTTTGTGCAACTGTTCATGAAATGACCAGGTTTTCCACAATTCCAACATTCAACCTACTTTTTGGGTGCAAACTTACTTTTACTTCTGTACCTGAATTTTGATTTGCCTCTGGATAAGCCTCTGTCTTGTCTCCTTCCTCGAGTGTTGATGTTGAGAGCTGAACCTAAACTTGAGCTTTCACCCAAGTCTTTTCTTCATACTTCTTAAGCTAAAATCAGGTCTCGGATGTCATCATATTTCAATTTGGATTTTCCAGCTAAGTTGCTTACGGTTATTCTCATATCTTCCCAACTGCATGAAAGTGAAGCTAGCAAAATAAGTGCACGGATCTCATCATCAAACTCAATCTCAACAGATAACAATTGATTTGTGATGGTGTTGAAATTATTGAGATGCTGTGTAACAGAGGTGCTTTCTGTTATTTTCAGGTTGAACAACTTCTTTATCAAGTGCACTTTGTTATTTGCTGAGGGCTTCTCATACATCTCAGAAAAGGCTTCCATCAATCTTGTTGTGGATTCTTTTTTGTAACATTATGAGCAACTCTTCTTGACAAGGATAGTCGGATAATGCCCAAAACTTGTCTATCAAGAATTTGTCACTCTTCTTCTAACATGTTTTCTGGTTTGCTCCCCAACAGAGGAAGATGAAGTTTCTTCCCATATAAATAGTCTTTAATTTGCATTTTTCAATATCCAAAATCTGTTCCATCAAAATTTTCAATTCCCGCAGCGTTTATTTCATCTGCCATTTTTAATATTTCTCAAATTCGAATCTGCAAAATCTGACTTTATAGATGTGTCTGGAATGGCCAAAAAATGTTGGAAACGACACTGAGATCACCAAAATCGGACTTCGAATGGCTCAGATTTTATCAATCAAACTTTTGGATCATTGGACGCTGCAAATGAAGCCACGTGTCAGGAGGAATAGTCGTTGCGCTACACTGGATCAAAACCTAGAATGCTGACATGGATATGCTAACGTGTCTGCCATGTAAGATAGACGACCCCATAATTATGACGTGTCAGAGCCACGTGGATTTCTGGCTGACGTGGCAGAGATGACGTGGACGATGATTGTGCAAAACTTCGTGCGTGGTTGCTGATGTGTCGGGTCAACTCGGTTCAGTTTGCAAGAAATCGGGCAAGGAAGACGCGTGGAGCGCGTGAGGCGTGTTGGTACGCGTGGGTAGTGGAGTCGGCGACGCGTGCGGGCATGCAGGATGTCGGTTTTTCATCGGGTTTTCACCAGTGGATTTCTCTCGTCTTCCTCTTCACGATGATATGTTCAAAAACACGTTTTAAGAATTTTGATTTTTGAGTTTGGATCAAACACCCTCTATTTCAAGAACAAGCTCTGATACCAATTGTTAGGCCATTTAAGCTTTCAAACACGCATCAATTTACATGGTTCGACAACTTGTCTACTCCACGAAGCTACTGGTTTGTATTAATCAAGCTTAGAAACAATACAAACAACAAAATAAGGAGGAGGAGAAAAAACTTCTCTACTCAACTCAACTCTCATTCTAGCTCTCTCTGTGTTTCTCTCTATTTCATGTGTTACTCAGCTATCAATGACACCCTCTATTTATAGCTGATATGGGAGACAATCTTCTTCCTTTGTCAATTATGGTGGGCACCATTTTTTTTTATTTAGACACCTATCATTGACTCTTGCATTGCAATCACATGGCTACCAACTATTATTTGTGTCCATACATTAACACTCCAAACATAGACGTTGTTCAGGATCGCTAGACGTTGTTCAGGATCGCTGCTAGGCATAATAGTTGCTACCATGGGATCAAGGCTTTCTGGTAATTCCACTCTTCTATCCATGAAGCCTCCACCTCCAGCTACCTCTTAAATGGAAGAAACACATTTCAGTCAAATTTTATAAGAAATTCAAGAAGATGATTAACGAGCATGTTCATGCATTCTGTCGTTAAGGTAATATGGAAGAGATACGTATTAAGAGTAATATACCTCTAAGGAATCTAACTTGATCCATGGAATGGAGACAGTCATTGGTTCCCATAGGATGACACCGAAACCAAACACATCAGACCTGTGCAGAAACAGGGTATGCCATAAACTAGATTTTCAGAATAAAATTGGTGAGGATATAATTAAAAGAAATTAGAGAGAAAACGACCCTTCTTTACTTCGGCTAATAATCAGGTTTAATGATTTCTGCTTGAACATCATTGATTGCCGAGCTAGAAACAAGGTGAAAGTTGTACAGGACATCGAGAGTCAAGAATGCTAGATGACGAAAGAGGGACCGTGTCACCTCTACGTTTCTATTTAGTTAACCAAGGCAGGCAAGCAATTCTATTGAATCTGTTTAGCATGAAAGAAGAAAAACAGCACTTGTCCATTTGTAGAATAACAGGGTTCGGTTTCATGAATTACTTTTCATTTGAAGGTTCATTCCGGAGGACTTCACGGGCCATATATTGAGGCTGCACAGAGAAAAATGGAGGAGTTTAACATTTGCAGACAAATG